ATCAGACTTCCGTTGCATATATACTCATCCTACATTGGTTGATTCTTGGTTCTGCCCATACTCGTTGGAGTATGTAACAGTTTTGGTATCGGAGCAGACCATAAAACGGATCTGCTCACAAAGGTAAGTCTGGTCAGGAAATAGATTGCTCTTCAATCTTCCCAATCAGCGCTGAATTACTATCGAGTTCAAAGTTGCAAATTTTTTTCTTTTTCAGTATTCTATTTAGTTCGGCATTTCCGTTCAATTCGGTATTCGGACTTATAATTCGGATTTCTGTTTTCTTCCGGTATGCTGCTATTTGAGTTCTGAGTGAGTAATACTAATCCGATAATTGATTAAGTTTCGGATTTCTGATGTTACACGAATTAGGGTTGAATCAGTATCATGCTTGAAATTCGGCTTTTCTGATTTCCATTCAGCATTCCGTTTTCGGCATTCTGTTGTAAATCCTATATTTCGTTGTCTTTTGAGATTTCCGTTGTCTTTCAGTATTGGAATTAGGGTTACGAAAGTCTTTTGGTTTTAGATCAACTTGGGGAAATTCGAACGTTTTGGGACCGTAAATCCGGAAATTTCGCCGAAACGCGGAAAATTAGGGTTGGGACCGAAATTTTCGCGAAATTTTATTCGTTCTCCTTGTTTGAGAAATTCCGAAAATAGGTTTAGGCTTTTAAAAATCGGATTTTGACGGTGGAAATTCCCAAAAATTCGCGTTTTTGAAAATTCGAGCGTTTTTCTTCTGAAATTTTCCGAAAATGTTTTTAGCACACTAAGCCGTACCTAACCCTTAAACTGCAACTTCCGGGTAGTTCACTCAGTAACGGTGAACTCCCGGACTCAAAAGTGATCTCAAAGAGACCTAATCATAATACCTTTCAAATTCGTTTATTAATTGGTTATCTTTATTACAAACATTGTTTTACTGATTATCATTCGGATTTATTTCATTAATTATCATTAATTAATTTAATTGATTAAATCGTTATTAATTCCTTATTACGAATTTTTCGAAGGGTTTACGGGAAATTTATTTTTTTCCTGTTTGACTAGGTGTCTACAGTCCATCAGTGGGACAGGGGATTGTATGTATATTGCTTGATTGTTCTACCCCTGTTCCCACTCTACCTACCCCCCGGTAGTCTGTGAACACCGGCACCTCTCAAGTACCGCATCAGTTCAGACTGATGTCGACGGAACAGGACACCGGGGCACTGCCATGGCGCAGTGCCAGGATCGCAGTTCGTGCCCGCCCTGCGGTACCTCCAAGACCCAAGAGATTCAGCAGACGGACGACTCCAGCGGCATCAAGTACGGCATTCATAGTACAAGACACCACCGGAGATTTTCCCGCATGCCCGGTCCGAGAGGCCAGCGAGTCTTGGGCTGACTATCGTGGGCGGCTACAGGCATTTACAGACGCCGTAGCCGCTGCCGAGGCTCAACAGGCTGCGGCAGAGGCAGAACGTCAGCGGCTGGCCAACGAAGCGACAGCCGAAGCTCAGCTGACAGCTGAGACTGACGAAGTGGCACGAAACAGACGGAATGCCGCCAGCACGGAGTCCCTGATTGCTAGTGAGCATCAGTGGACAACGTTACTCCAAGACATGATTTTTGTGCCTACGGAAACGCAGGCGGAACCGACACAGGCGGAGGCAGAGAAAAGTAACCTGGCTACCGTGATGTTGAACGTAATGAGGGGAGTAATGTGGAACAACAAACTACTGCAGGCACACCTGCACGCGGATCGTCAGCAAAGACAGCAGTACCAGCAAGACCTGGCCGCTGTAACGGTCGACGTCCGCGGCGCAGCAGTACAGCAGCAGCAACAGCAATAGTTGATGAACTCTACCATCGCACGCGTCAACGGCATTGAGGCCAAGGCCTCAGCAGCGCCAGGCTGCACGACGGACGCGACGAAGCAAGTCAATGAACGCATCGATCACGTCGTCACCATCATCGGCGACATAAGTGTTTTCAACGGACCGGACACGATCAGCAGCACGGTGGCCGCCCTCAAGACGGACATCACCAAGCTACAGACGAGACCGGACGCCGCTACAAAGACATTCAAGATGCCGCACTTCGACATCTGCAAGTTCGACGACTACAACAAGTCGGACGCTTTGACATGGTGGCAACGTTTCCTCACGGAAGCGTCATGCCGCACTGTCCCGGCGAACGACATGTTG